CCAACCAACTCTGTGCAATATAATATATGCCGTTAATAACTGTGCAATATATACCTGGCTGCTAAATCCTCAGAACTGTTGCAGGATGTGTATTTTGTAAATTGTGTAACTGTTTCTTATTATCATTTTTGTATCTTAATATTTAGTTATGCTGCCTTCTGAGGGAACATGAAGGCTCTCTGGCTCTTTTCTGCTTGTCACAATGTAAATGTCCGCTCTTACCTCATTCACACCCAACGCAACTCCGGTTCAAGCTCCGTGCTAGAGCTTTTCAGGTTCAGAACCAGTTCTTCGGTTTAGCTCTGGCTCTCTTCACACCGCCCAGAGTCCGACTGGTAATGCGTCGTTGCGTCATCGTTTGCGTCATGACGTAACCGTTTGCGTGCCTGCTTCATAAAGCCAAATCGTGTGGATGAAATCAGTTGCATTCATTTCTTATGGCTCTATCTGCAGCGTTTCCGGAGTCATTTCTGTGGTTTAGTTATATTCTTATAAAAACTGTACTCGTGTCAATAAAGGTTTTTTTTAAACACAACTGCTTCCGAGGTCGGTCTTATTTCTTAAGGTGGACCTGAACCCATGAGTGTGGAGTCACGTTGTATCTTTCATTTAAATGAACTGTAACCTTCACCCAGGTATGTAACAGCTGTTCTCAATATGAACACGTGAAGTAAAGTTTAATATTTATAGTTTTATAGATTATAATGAGTTATAATGAGAGGTGATCAATGTGAATGCTCAGGTTCCACCTTAACACGCAGACACGTTGCTTCACCATGAGCAGGAACCTTTATACAGTCTATGGCAGAAACACTGAAACTCTTGTTAAGTTTCTCCATCGTTGTGTAACAAACTGGATATTAAAAACGCAGGCTTTTTGTTGTTGTTCAGGAGTTGATCTGTCTCTGCCCCCGCCTCGACGTAAGCGTGACGTATGCGGTGCTTTTGCTCTGGCCGGTGACGTATGCGGTGCTTGAAACAAACCGGATTCCGGAGCTAAGAGGCTGCTCCGCTGCGGTGTGAAGAGGAAAACCTGGTGCTTTTCAAGCTCCAGCTCCGAAACCGGGCCCTGAAACACCGTTTGGTGTGAATGACGGTAACTGTTGGGGCTAATAAAGGGATTCTGATTCTGAGAGCCATCTATTATTTATTTATTGAATCGTTTATTTGGCAGGGACAATGCACAGTGATGAACACTTAAAACATTACAAATGTGTCAAGCGTAACAGCGCCAGATTTTAGCTTTGAGCTAATTCCCATCCAGCAGTCCCTCACATAAAACATTTAAGAAATAACTTTATACAAAAACAAAATACATAATATGCAAAAAGTGCAAAAGAGCAAGAGCAGCATACACAAGCATTTATCACATGGCAGTACAATATAGCAGCTACGATATATAAAGTGCAAGAGGGGATACAAGAGCTTAGGGCTGCTCAATTAATCGTATTTTAATCGCACGATTTTGGCTTGCAACGATAATGAAAACAACATAATCGAAATAAAACGATTATTTTTTTATTGGTTTTTCAGTTGAATTATATTTAAAGTTCAGGGTAATCAACTGTTAAAAACATACTGTTCACATTTATTTTTTCAATAAATGGATGTTTTCAAAGTAAATGGATAATCGTTTTTAATAATCGTGATATCAATTGTTGACCCAAATAATCGAGATTATGATTTTTGCCACAATCGAGCAGCCCTACAAGAGCTACCTAAAGAGCAAGAGGAGATAGCCCTGTGTTAAAGTGCATTTAGCGGTGATCGCACGTCTGTCTGTCTCTCAACCGTTCTCTGAGTTGACCTCTATTGAGAGTGGGACAATCCCGTATCTCAGTTGGGAGGCTGTTCCACAAAGAGCTGCCTTTAATGGAGAGGACATTTTGACTAAAAGTGGTCCGTCTGCGGTGGACTTCACAGTGTCCTCTGGTTTGTGACCTAGTGCAGCGTCCAGTGTGTTTCTGTGGATGAAGGGGGGGGGCAGTGTCTGTGTTGAACTGTAGTGAAATCAATCTTTTTGTAGTGCCCGCCCACACAGAAAATGCACCACTTACATGTCAGTCTGAACCGAAAATTCATGCCAATACCAACGTAAGGAGTGCAATCCTGGCCGTGATAAAAAAACGAAATAAATGGTATATATACTTTGCATATTTGGCTAATGTAAACTAGCATGCTTGCTGGAAATCCGCTAACTGACCGACACACAATGCACCAGAGCTGTTGGTCGGTAAATGAGACTTGAATTATTCATATCAATTGAGAAGGGTGTTTTTCCAAATGACAGTCCACCACCAAAGAAGAGAAACGTATTATTCTCTTACAGTATTGGTACCGATCTATGTTGGTTTGGTGCGTGTTGCCAAGTGTTTATCTGCCATGGAGGTGTCTGCTTTCTATCCAATATAATATAACTAGATTGTGTTTCTCAAAGAGACAAAAACATACATTTGAGAAACTCAAAAGTGATCACTTTGCGACACCCGCAAACCTTAGGAGGGAAGCGTGCACTTAATCCTGGATAAGACGCTCTCATCAGATCACATGAGCAAGCTAACATTATATGTTACTTAGCTGATGCTTTTGTCTAAAGTGTCTTAAAGTGGAGGAAGTAAGTATTTGATTATATACTTATTTCCCACAGTAAAATGCAGATCCATTTTTATCTTTTAAATCATGTCAATTTCTGGATTGTTTTGTTTTATATTCTTACTCTCACTGTTCAAATACCATTACAATGATAGACTGTTCATTTCTTTGTAAGTGGATTAACTTACAACATCTGCAGGGGATCAAATACTTATTTCCTCCACTGTACATACACGCAAACAGATTCCTTTCAGACACACAGTGTGGCCCATCTCTAACTTTATATCATACATGAGGGGGTTTGCCACACACAGCTCTAAATCTTTCCCACACACTCACACACAGCGACTTACCCCAGGAAGTCAAAGTCGATGGTGGAGTATTTGGCCTGGATGAGCGCCCAGAAGCCCCAGAAGAAGTGAGAAGCCTTCAGAGAGAAGAATCAGAATATCAGGTGGAGTGAAGTAACGTGAGACAAAGTGTGTGTGTGAGTGTGTGTGTGTGAGAGATACTGTGTGTGTGTGTGTGTGTGTGTGTGTGTCCTCCTCACCAGAGCAAACTTGTTGACCTGTACGTAGAGTGTCTCTAGCTCCCGCTCGCTGACCTCCGCTTTTTGTTTGTAGGCCTTAAGGTAAACTCTCAGCCAGTCCATCTGCATCTCCCGGCTCGGATACAGCCCGAAGTCCGGCTCCGCCATTCCTGAACACACACACACACACACACACACACACACACACACACACACACACACACACACACACACACACACACACACACACACACACACACACACACACACACACACACACACACACAGTTATCATTCTCCGTCACAGCGATAGAAAACTGGAATTCTCTACCCACTAGAATCAAAGACATACATACATGTACCACCTTCACAGCTCACTTCAAAACACGGTTCACTGAGAACCTGCACACACTCGTCTGTGTTGGATATGTGTGTTACATGTTGTGTTACATGTTGTGTTACATGTTGTGATCATGGACCCCTCGTTTCTGTTATGTGATTGTGATGTGCTATATCAGGGTTCCTGCAGGTTTCACCAACTCAAATGTAAGACTTTTTAAGACCACTTTGAATAGAATTTAAGACCTATTTCACAGCAAGAAAGCATGAAGGAAAATTGCTATGAAAGAAGAAATACGTCCCATAATTACTTTCAAAGTAAATGTATTCACGTTCAACATAAGAACGATGACTGAACATGAACACTGAACTGTGTGTGTGTGTGTGTGTGTGTGTGTGGTGTGTGTGTGGTGTGTGTGTGTGTGTGTGTGTGTGTGTGTGTGTCAAGGGCTATCTTCTGAGCTCTGTTCCCTTGGCTACAATCTTTCATCGTTGATGTTTTAGGATTGGTGTTTAGCTACGGTATTTAGCGTCTACAGCACCTCCGCTTTTAGGATTGACGTGGACCCAAACGTCGCCCGCAGTGATCGCGTTAACTAGAGAAATCTAAAAGCAGTCTGTCATTTTGACAGATTAGAACAAACTCGGAACAGCGCAAAAGTTTCCCCGCAGTGAGGCTCTGGTGTTCGCCGTGTTATGCATGCCCGCCCAAAAGGAAATGATATCGTTTCCAAACCGTACAGATCATTGACATGTCTGGGAGTTTTGACTTTACGCTGTGCGCGCTCCCGCGAGGTGCATGCATATCTCGGCGGGCATTCATAACACCGGCACAACGGTTCACGAGCATGCTCTCGCTAGCTGAAGCTTGGTTGCTCGGTTACTAGCTGGGTGTTCTCCGATAAGGGGCCGGGGGCAACAAAGTTAGTGATTACTGGTTCCATGTTGATTTATTTCAATACAAATTGTTGGGGGGAACTGAAAGGCTCTTATCGTACTGGTTACTTTGCAGCCCGGACATTTCCCCCAAAACACATTTAGACGTGATCGCAACACAGAAGTACCTTTCAAATCCCATCATTTTCAAGGCCTTAAATTCTGATTATCAAATGTAAGACTTGTTAAGACTTGTTAAGACCCCGCGGGAACCCTGTATATGTGACATGTACTGTATATAGTAATGTGTGTTGTATGCATTGTATTGTTCTTTTTTATCCTTTCGCCTCTATCTACTTGTCTTTCATCCTTTCTTTATAACTAATGCTGTTGATCAGGGCTGGCCCTAGACATTTTGGTGCCCTAGGCGAGATTATGATTTGGTGCCCCCCCCCCCCCCCCCCCCCCCCCCCCCCCCCCCTCCAAGCAATGGTTATATACTTAAAGAAGGTTTCGAATGTATTCATTATTGTATGAACATGTTTTAATTGGCTCCTAGATCCTTTAGGATGCTTCAATCTGGTGCACTTTGAGCAGAATTACTAGAGACTAGATCTAGGGGGTAAAACTCTAAAACACCCATATGAAAAAGATCGGTTTACATTTTAATAACCAAATAAGTATGTGAACATAACCAATAACCCATAACAAATAAATGTAACATATTTTATTTTTTGGTTTACTGTCCTATAGTATACATTGGAATGATTTCAAACCTGTTTTTATTTATCCCAATAATTATAAAGGAGTGCCTTGGAAATATTTGTTTACATAAATTGTGACCAAACCGTTTGAGACCCACTGAGATAACTTCGACTAAAGTGAACTATCTAAACCAGGGGTCCCCAAACTTTTTCCTGTGAGGGCCACATAACTTTTCCCTTCTCTGATGGGGGCCGGGTCAGTTTGTAACAGAAAAAGTGTGACGATCGCATGGGTGTCTAAACGTAAACATTTATTGTTTTCTAGAAAGCCACACATAACCAAATATTAATAACCCTTTCTGGGATCTTCACAGACAAAAAGTCAGGAAATAAATAATAACACTTAATGAAATAAATAACACTATTTATGAAATAAATAATAACCAAATAACCCTCTCTGGGTTCTTCACAGAAAAAAGTCCATTGAAAATTACTGTAACTTTCTGTTGTGCCGTGCACAATCTTAACAGGTAAAAGTTGAGCTTAGTTGTCAGAGCAGAATCTCTCAAAATAAACGTGGATTTACGTAAAAAAAACTATTTTTTCGGGGTTCGGGTGTTTTGTTTGATTTTAAACAAACAAAGTCTTGGCTTTCAGAATATGAAACTTTTATTTCCAATTTATTTATTTCTCACTCGCAATCTGCTCTTCCGCAGCGCCGCCCCCCCCCTCACTCCGCTGAAATTATGAATGTAAGAGTATAGTAATCATAGATAACACTGCAGGGTCCGTTACAGTTTGTTTTCATCTGATTTCAATTAAACAAAGTCTTGGCTTTCAGAATATTAAACTTGTTTCGGCAAATTCAGATGATAAATACAGCTTTGAAGCTTCGGCATAATTACAAGCGGAGAATGGCAGGCATAACAACAGCCGGTGTTTCTCGTGAGTGTTTTCCCCGGGAAACAAACACAATACACAGAAACGCAAAATTACACAAGCACACACACTCGCACACACACTCACACACACACACACACACACACACGTATACACACACACTCGCGAGCTTCCCCTCCAAACGAAAATATCTTCCCTCGGTAGTATTTTGATCATTTGCTAATAATCAATCAGATCGATGGATTCCAGAGAAGAGACAACTTTGAAGGCCTTTTTCTCAAAATGAGGACTCGGTGACAGTCATTATATAATGTGACATATTTCGCTTAATATTTGAAGTACAACAACAATCCTGATATCATTAGAAAGCTAGGAATATCCTCTTTCCAACAGTGTATACAACTCAAAAGGTGTCTTCGGGTCAATGTGACTGATTTCGATAGAGCAGGTCACAACATTTTGACAGGGGCTAGTCTAGGATTCGCGTGGCCAGACTGAAAAAAAAAAAAAAAAAAAATCATAATGCGTCTCTGGTATTGTTCAGGGGGCCGGGGCAAATGTGGAGGCGGGCCGTACCCGGCCCGCGGGCCTTAGTTTGGGGTGATCTGATCTAAACCCTCAAGAGTCCTTTACCCCACTGAGCTGTAGTTATCAGCCTCAATCCAACAACAATCCGCGGTACCTATCTATCTATCTATCTAAGCTGTCTATTATCATCTGGCCGGGGATAACAGCTGGAAATGAGCAATGTTGGCTAAAGCTAATGCCCCATTTACTGTTCTGTGTGACAGTGAGGACTGTCCACAACACTATGAACAATAAGCTAAACTAAACAGCTGTATAATAAAGCCCCACTGGATGGATGTGACAATGACTCTGAGGTTCTGATCACACTGTGGTTTGACAAACCTGCAAACTCATTGAAGTGGTTGCCGATGTCGAAGGCCTGGTAGTTGTAGCTGGAGTATTCGTAGTCTATGAAGCGAACATGACCTGAGAGACGACGAGAGGACATGGAAAATGTTAAATGTATAATGATGTAGCAGCTGTTCACGTTGAAGGCTCAGGAGTGTGTTGAAGCAGTAAAATATAAATCTCTATTGAATATACAATATACCGAATTAACATCAGTGTACACTATGAAAGATATTGAAGTGACTGTTATTTTGTATATATAGATTGTTGTGCTTTTATATACTGTATGTCTTAATGTGTGCATATGTATAAATGTGTCTGTTGATTGTGTATATATATATAGGATATACATATTTTTATTTTTGTATTATTATCGATCTCTCCGTCTGTACATACAAACTGAAAGATTGACAATAAAGTTGACTTTGACTTATAGGCCAACCTACAACTAGCAAAATGTAAACATAGGATACTGTTTATAAATGACTATATGAATTCATGTTATTGTTAAGAAAGCGGATTAAACATAGAGATGGAAGAGGACAGGAAGGAAAGGAAATAAGAAAGGTCGCAACGAGTAGAGAGTGCACAGGGCAGAGGAAAGACAACAACAACAACATCTAAAACACATCCTGTCCAGATTTCCTCCACATTTTTTACTTCTGACTTTTTTTCAGGACTATATTCCATGAAAAGGAAATTGACTTTTTAGACTAGAGTGACATTGACTCTCTGCAAAGCTCTGGTTCCACAGGAAGCCCGGAGGTTCTCACCCTCTTTGCTGTTGTGGATGATGTTCTTGCAGAGCAGGTCGTTGTGGCAGAGAACCACCGGAGAACCCAGAGTGGAGAGATGCTCCTTCATCCAAACCATCTCCTGCTCCAGCACCGCCTTACTGGGAACCTCCTGCTGGATCCTAGAGAGGTCAGATTTATAAAGTTTAGTTTTAAAGGTCACCTATTATGCAAAATCCACTTGTTCATGTCTCTTCTTCATCAACATGTGTCCCCTCTTCTTCATGTCTCTTCTACATCAACATGTGTCCCCTCTTCCTCATGTCTCTTCTACATCAACATGTGTCCCCTCTTCTTCATGTCTCTTCTACATCAACATGTGTCCCCTCTTCTTCATGTCTCTTCTACGTCAACATGTGTCCCCTCTTCTTCATGTCTCTTCTACATCAACATGTGTCCCCTCTTCTTCATGTCTCTTCTTCATCAACATGTGTCCCCTCTTCTTCATGTCTCTTCTACATCAACATGTGTCCCCTCTTCCTCATGTCTCTTCTACATCAACATGTGTCCCCTCTTCTTCATGTCTCTTCTACATCAACATGTGTCCCCTCTTCTTCATGTCTCTTCTACGTCAACATGTGTCCCCTCTTCTTCATGTCTCTTCTACATCAACATGTGTCCCCTCTTCTTCATGTCTCTTCTCCATCAACATGTGTCCCCTCTTCTTCACGTCTCTTCTACATCAACATGTGTCCCCTCTTCTTCATGTCTCTTCTCCATCAACATGTGTCCCCTCTTCTTCACGTCTCTTCTACATCAACATGTGTCCTCTCTTCTTCATGTCTCTTCCACATCAACATGTGTCCCCTCTTCTTCATGTCTCTTCCACATCAACATGTGTCCCCTCTTCTTCACGTCTCTTCTACATCAACATGTGTCCCCTCTTCTTCACGTCTCTTCTACATCACCATGTGTCCCCTCTTCTTCACGTCTCTTCTACATCACCATGTGTCCCCTCTTCTTCATGTCTCTTCTACATCAACATGTGTCCCCTCTTCTTCATGTCTCTTCCACATCAACATGTGTCCCCTCTTCTTCATGTCTCTTCTACATCAACATGTGTCCCCTCTTCTTCATGTCTCTTCCACATCAACATGTGTCCCCTCTTCTTCATGTCTCTTCTACATCAACATGTGTCCCCTCTTCTTCACGTCTCTTCTACATCACCATGTGTCCCCTCTTCTTCATGTCTCTTCTACATCAACATGTGTCCCCTCTTCTTTACGTCTCTTCTAAATCAGTGCTTCTCAAAGTGTGGTCCGCGGACCATTGGTGGTCCGTGAGTATATTGGTAAAACTTCACATTTGAAATAAATAAATCTATTTAAGTTTTTCGCACTCTCGCGGGAATATCTCCACAATGGAACGAGCTTAAGTTTCACTTTCGATTGCATGATATAGCCCAGATAAGCACCTTCATCACACATGTTGCCACTTGTTTGTACAATTTTCAGGCGATTTGTAAAAAACGATGTGTTTTTGGATATGTGTGGAGTTAGGTGGTCCGCGAGTGTTTTTTTATTGGTTAAGTGGTCCCTGGTATGAAAAAGTTTGAGAAACACTGTTCTACATCAACATGTGTCCCCTCTTCTTCATGTCTCTTCTACATCAACATGTGTCCCCTCTTCTTCATGTCTCTTCTACATCAACATGTGTCTCCTCTTCTTCATGTCTCTTCTCCATCAACATGTGTCCCCTCTTCTCCATGTCTCTTCTACATCAACATGTGTCCCCTCTTCTTCATGTCTCTTCTACATCAACATGTGTCTCCTCTTCTTCATGTCTCTTCTCCATCAACATGTGTCCCCTCTTCTCCATGTCTCTTCCACATCAACATGTGTCCCCTCTTCTTCATGTCTCTTCCACATCAACATGTGTCCCCTCTTCTTCATGTCTCTTCTACATCAACATGTGTCCCCTCTTCTTCATGTCTCTTCTACATCAACATGTGTCCCCTCTTCTTCATGTCTCTTCTTCATCAACATGTGTCCCCTCTTCTTCATGTCTCTTCTACATCAACATGTGTCCCCTCTTCTTCATGTCTCTTCTTCATCAACATGTGTCCCCTCTTCTTCATGTCTCTTCTCCATCAGCATGTGTCCCCTCTTCTTCATGTCTCTTCTACATCAACATGTGTCTCCTCTTCTTCATGTCTCTTCTCCATCAACATGTGTCCCCTCTTCTCCATGTCTCTTCTACATCAACATGTGTCCCCTCTTCTTCATGTCTCTTCTACATCAACATGTGTCTCCTCTTCTTCATGTCTCTTCTCCATCAACATGTGTCCCCTCTTCTCCATGTCTCTTCCACATCAACATGTGTCCCCTCTTCTTCATGTCTCTTCTACATCAACATGTGTCCCCTCTTCTTCATGTCTCTTCTACATCAACATGTGTCCCCTCTTCTTCATGTCTCTTCTACATCAACATGTGTCCCCTCTTCTTCATGTCTCTTCTACATCAACATGTGTCCCCTCTTCTTCATGTCTCTTCTTCATCAACATGTGTCCCCTCTTCTTCATGTCTCTTCTACATCAACATGTGTCCCCTCTTCTTCATGTCTCTTCTTCATCAACATGTGTCCCCTCTTCTTCATGTCTCTTCTCCATCAGCATGTGTCCCCTCTTCTTCATGTCTCTTCTACATCAACATGTGTCCCCTCTTCTTCATGTCTCTTCTCCATCAACATGTGTCCCCTCTTCTCCATGTCTCTTCTACATCAACATGTGTCCCCTCTTCTCCATGTCTCTTCTACATCAACATGTGTCCCCTCTTCTTCATGTCTCTTCTTCATCAACATGTGTCCCCTCTTCTTCATGTCTCTTCTCCATCAGCATGTGTCCCCTCTTCTTCATGTCTCTTCTACATCAACATGTGTCCCCTCTTCTTCATGTCTCTTCTCCATCAGCATGTGTCTCCTCTTCTTCATGTCTCTTCTACATCAACCATGTGTCCCCTCTTCTTCGTGTCTCTTCTACATCAACATGTGTCCCCTCTTCTTCATGTCTCTTCTACATCAACATGTGTCCCCTCTTCTTCATGTCTCTTCTACATCAACATGTGTCCCCTCTTCTTCATGTCTCTTCTACATCAACATGTGTCCCCTCTTCTTCATGTCTCTTCTTCATCAACATGTGTCCCCTCTTCTTCATGTCTCTTCTCCATCAGCATGTGTCTCCTCTTCTTCATGTCTCTTCTACATCAACATGTGTCCCCTCTTCTTCGTGTCTCTTCTACATCAACATGTGTCCCCTCTTCTTCATGTCTCTTCTACATCAACATGTGTCCCCTCTTCTTCATGTCTCTTCTACATCAACATGTGTCCCCTCTTCTTCATGTCTCTTCTACATCAACATGTGTCCCCTCTTCTTCATGTCTCTTCTACATCAACATGTGTCCCCTCTTCTTCATGACTCTTCTACATCAACATGTGTCCCCTCTTCTTCATGTCTCTTCTACATCAACATGTGTCCCCTCTTCTTCATGTCTCTTCTACATCAACATGTGTCCCCTCTTCTTCATGTCTCTTCTACATCAACATGTGTCCCCTCTCTTCATGTCTCTTCTACATCAACATGTGTCCCCTCTTCTTCATGTCTCTTCTACATCAACATGTGTCCCCTCTTCTTCATGTCTCTTCTACATCAACATGTGTCCCCTCTTCTTCATGTCTCTTCTACATCAACATGTGTCCCCCTCTTCTTCATGTCTCTTCTCCATCAACATGTGTCCCCTCTTCTTCATGTCTCTTCTACATCAACATGTGTCCCCTCTTCTTCATGTCTCTTCTACATCAACATGTGTCCCCTCTTCTTCATGTCTCTTCTACATCAAACATGTGTCCCCTCTTCTTCAATGTCTCTTCTACATCAACATGTGTCCCCTCTTCTCCATGTCTCTTCTACATCAACATGTGTCCCCTCTTCTCCATGTCTCTTCTACATCAACATGTGTCCCCTCTTCTCCATGTCTCTTCTCATCAACATGTGTCCCCTCTTCTTCCCCCTCTTCTTCATGTCTCTTCTACATCAACATGTGTCCCCCTCTTCTTCATGTCTCTTCTACATCAACATGTGTCCCCTCTTCTTCATGTCTCTTCTACATCAACATGTGTCCCCTCTTCTTCAGTCTCTTCTACATCAACATGTGTCCCCTCTTCTTCATGACTCTTCTACATCAACATGTGTCCCCTCTTCTTCATGTCTCTTCTACATCAACATGTGTCCCCTCTTCTTCATGTCTCTTCTACATCAACATGTGTCCCCTCTTCTTCATGTCTCTTCTACATCAACATGTGTCCCCTCTTCTTCATGTCTCTTCTACATCAACATGTGTCCCCTCTTCTTCATGTCTCTTCTACATCAACATGTGTCCCCTCTTCTTCATGTCTCTTCTACATCAACATGTGTCCCCTCTTCTTCATGTCTCTTCTACATCAACATGTGTCCCCTCTTCTTCATGTCTCTTCTACATCAACATGTGTCCCCTCTTCTTCATGTCTCTTCTACATCAACATGTGTCCCCTCTTCTTCATGTCTCTTCTCCATCAACATGTGTCCCCTCTTCTTCATGTCTCTTCTACATCAACATGTGTCCCCTCTTCTTCATGTCTCTTCTACATCAACATGTGTCCCCTCTTCTTCATGTCTCTTCTCCATCAACATGTGTCCCCTCTTCTTCATGTCTCTTCTACATCAACATGTGTCCCCTCTTCTTCATATCTCTTCTACATCAACATGTGTCCCCTCTTCTTCATGTCTCTTCTATATCAACATGTGTCCCCTCTTCTTCATGTCTCTTCTACATCAACATGTGTCCCCTCTTCTTCATGTCTCTTCTACATCAACATGTGTCCCCTCTTCTTCATGTCTCTTCTCCATCAACATGTGTCCCCTCTTCTTCATGTCTCTTCTACATCAACATGTGTCCCCTCTGTGGAAAGAGACTCTGAAAGTCTCAGGAACAAAGATTCTCTCTCTTTTTGTCCTGATCCATTTCTATAAAAACCTGTCTGAAAATGAGCTGATCAGATTTTGGCCACTTTACGATGTTTTGGCTTGTGTAACCATTAGCCAATCAGCAACCAAGGTATCAAGAGTATCTCTGATCTCCTACTTCCACACTGCCCCGGTCATATGACGCAGACTGAGAGTGTTATGATTGGCTGTAGTAGAAAGAGTTAAGGCAAGCGAGTAAGTGTCTGAGCCAGTGAGCTGAGTAGAGACCCCTGTGCTGACAGTAATGGATTTAGTGAGGGTAATCCACCTGCAGGAGGATGTCCTGACACACACACACACACACACACACACACACACACACACACACACACACACACACACACACACACAGTTTAACCTCCTGCCTGGCGTATGGCAAATCATTCTGTAGCTATGGCTGTAGCGTTTTTTGCATTGGAATCTTCTAAAGACTTATCTCAAACACGGCTTTGAGTATCGCTTGTATTTCACCGCCTTCAAAATAAAGTTTTTAGAAAGAAATCAACTAACAAAATCCAGATTTAAATGAAGTTATTCATCAGATGTAATGCGTTATTCTTAAAGAGGACATAGTATGCTCGTTTTCAGGTGTATATCAGTATGTAGTGTCTCTACTTTAAAGAGTCCTCTCCTGCTGATGTTCAGGTGTATATCAGTCTGTAGTGTCTCTACTTTAAAGAGTCCTCTCCTGCTGATGTTCAGGTGTATATCAGTATGTATTGTCTCTACTTTAAAGAGTCCTCTCCTGCTGATGTTCAGGTGTATATCAGTATGTAGTATCTCTACTTTAAAGAGTCCTCTCCTGCTGATGTTCAGGTGTATATCAGTATGTAGTGTCTCTACTTTAAAGAGTCCTCTCCTGCTGATGTTCAGGTGTATATCAGTATGTAGTGTCTCTACTTTAAAGAGTCCTCTCCTGCTGATGTTCAGGTGTATATCAGTATGTAGTGTCTCTATTTTAAAGAGTCCTCTTCTGCTGATGTTCAGGTGTATATCAGTATGTAGTGTCTCTACTTTAAAGAGTCCTCTCCTGCTGATGTTCAGGTGTATATCAGTATGTAGTGTCTCTAGTTTAAAGAGTCCTCTCCTGCTGATGTTCAGGTGTATATCAGTATGTAGTGTCTCTACTTTAAAGAGTCCTCTCCTGCTGATGTTCAGATGTATATCAGTATGTAGTGTCTCTACTTTAAAGAGTCCTCTCCTGCTGATGTTCAGGTGTATATCAGTATGTAGTGTCCCTACTTTTAAAGAGTCCTCTCCTGCTGATGTTCAGGTGTATATCAGTATGTAGTGTCTCTACTTTAAAGAGTCCTCTCCTGCTGATGTTCAGGTGTATATCAGTATGTAGTGTCTCTACTTTAAAGAGTCCTCTCCTGCTGATGTTCAGGTGTATATCAGTATGTAGTATCTCTACTTTAAAGAGTCCTCTCCTGCTGATGTTCAGGTGTATATCAGTATGTAGTGTCTCTACTTTAAAGAGTCCTCTCCTGCTGATGTTCAGGTGTATATCAGTATGTAGTGTCTCTACTTTAAAGAGTCCTCTCCTGCTGATGTTCAGGTGTATATCAGTATGTAGTGTCTCTACTTTTAAAGAGTCCTCTTCCTGCTGATGTTCAGGTGTATATCAGTATGTAGTGTCTCTACTTTAAAGAGTCCTCTCCTGCTGATGTTCAGGTGTATATCAGTATGTAGTGTCTCTACTTTAAAGAGTCCTCTCCTGCTGATGTTCAGGTGTATATCAGTATGTAGTGTCTCTACTTTAAAGAGTCCTCTCCTGCTGATGTTCAGGTGTATATCAGTATGTAGTGTCTCTACATTTAAAGAGTCCTCTCCTGCTGATGTTCAGGTGTATATCAGTATGTAGATGTCTCTACTTTAAAGAGTCCTCTCCTGCTGATGTTCAGGTGTATATTAGTATGTAGTGTCTCTACTTTAAAGAGTCCTCTCCTGCTGATGTTCAGGTGTATATCAGTATGTAGTGTCTCTACTTTAAAGAGTCCTCTCCTGCTGATGTTCAGGTGTATATCAGTATGTAGTGTCTCTACTTTAAAGAGTCCTCTCCTGCTGATGTTCAGGTGTATATCAGTATGTGGTGTCTCTACTTTAAAGAGTCCTCTCCTGCTGATGTTCAGGTGTATATCAGTATGTAGTGTCTCTACTTTAAAGAGTCCTCTCCTGCTGATGTTCAGGTGTATATCAGTATGTAGTGTCTCTACTTTAAAGAGTCCTCTCCTGCTGATGTTCTGGTGTATATCAGTATGTAGTGTCTCTACTTTAAAGAGTCCTCTCCTGCTGATGTTCAGGTGTATATCAGTATGTAGTGTCTCTGCTTTAAAGAGTCCTCTCCTGCTGATGTTCAGGTGTATATCAGTATGTAGTGTCTCTACTTTAAAGAGTCCTCTCCTGCTGATGTTCAGGTGTATATCAGTATGTAGTGTCTCTACTTTAAAGAGTCCTCTCCTGCTGATGTTCAGGTGTATATCAGTATGTAGTGTCTCTACTTTAAAGAGTCCTCTCCTGCTGATGTTCAGGTGTATATCAGTATGTAGTGTCTCTACTTTAAAGAGTCCTCTCCTGCTGATGTTCAGGTGTATATCAGTATGTAGTGTCTCTACATGTCTCCATGCTCTAATGTTCAAAAAGCTCTTTATATTTCTCATACTGCCTGTGCTGCAGCACCTCTTTTCACCCTCTGTCTGAAACCAGAGCCCAGTCTGCTCTGATTGGTTAGCTGGCCGGCTCTGTTGTGGTTGGTCAACAGCTTAGGCCGTATCTCATTTCTGGGATTTCCCCTCCTTGACTCCTATCCTCGACTCCTATGTGACTTAGTCCCGCCCACAGGAGATGAGAGCGGAGGAGGGGAGCCGAGGAGAGAGGAGTGGAAGCAGCAGGCGGTTAGAGAAATGAGAACTCCTCTCCTCTGAGCGGTCATTGTAACGAGACGTCCATCAATGATGACAGGAGGCACAGCAGCCCTCTGTCTGATGACCACTTATATATTTACTTTTAATTCATTCACAGTGCGGTATAATGAGACAATAACAGGCTACAGATGCGGACACACACACACACACATATATTTATATATAAATATATACAATTCCAGAATCAAACAAGTATGAAAGCACTCTCATAATAATAACGTAACACTATCAGAGACTGGATATATAAATGACGGGCCAAAAGTTTTATTTACAAGTATTAAAAGTAAGCAGAGGACACCAAACCAACTGAGACCTGTCTGTCCGCTGCATCTACACAATGTACCGCACACACCTACAGCTCCTAAATCAGGCTACAGCCGTTGTGTATTTTATTATGTGAAGCACTAAATGGTTTTAGAAAAATATCGACTCTTTGTAGATATCTAGTAAACTAAAGCAAATAAAGAGAGTAGGCCTGTTATACCGAGTGATATATATTTTACACACTGCTCTGCTTTCTGCACGGACCTCACAGCTGTTCTGTCTGGAAACATTGCGTCGCGATGGAAGCAGTTAATAAAATAATATCCAGGGGATGCATGCAGAGCTGTCATTGGCTGAGATAAGTCCGGCCGTGCGTCACGACTCTTTGAAACATCTCTGTTCCCGGAAATGCATCCGTGGAGGACCGTGGAGGACCGTGGAGGACCGTGGAGGACCCATCAGTGTCTCCTCGGTTAGAGCTCCTCCAGAGAGCCTCCTCGACGCTCGATGCTCGAAGTGCATTTAGAGCAGTGTTTCTCAAACTTTTTCATACCAAGGACACTTAACCAATAAAAAAACACTTGCGGACCACCTAACTCCACAAATATCAAAAAACACATTGTTTTTCTAGAACAGATTACAAATCGCCTGAAAATGGTATAAACATGTGGCAACATGTGTGATGAAGGTGTTGCGCTGGGCTTTATCATGCAATCGAAAGTGAAACTTAACCTCACTCCATTGCGGAGATATTCCCGCGAGAGTGTGGAAAACTGAAATGTATATATTTATTTCAAATGTGAAATGTTACTAATATACTCACGGACCACTAGAGGGCGCTCACGGACCACCAGTGGTCCGCGGACCACACTTTGAGAAGCACTGATTTAGAGAAATGAGATGTCCTTCAACATGGCGTGCTGAAATTCATTTCCGGGTCACTACCGGAGGACCGAGGAGTCGAGGAGTCGAGGAGGGGAAGTCCCAGAAATGAGATGCGGCCTTTGAGATGTAATATACTTATTGTGTAGATAATGCAGAAAACTAAATGAAAATGAATAGTACTGAAGATTTTTTTCATATCTGTCTAACTATAAGCTATTGTTTATCATTTAGTACAAATATGATAATCACCCCTATGTTATTACGAATGTTTGGATCACGTGAGTCACGACTGCAATCCGGTACTGTAATAGTATGATACAAATAATATTGGAGTGTAACCTGTATCTGTGCAGAAATACAGCTTATTCAGATGTTGTTGAATATTTAGAATTGTATTGTTAATGTAATGAATGTCACTTTCCTGTTCTTTGTGTATCACACTTGAAAATAACACAGATCTCTACCGATGTGTTCAAATTGCCTGTTCACCTCTGGGCTTTCACACAAGCTGCTTCAAACCCCAGAGCAACAAGCGTCTGCTGTCCGGCTCCAGGTCGCCGCAGCTGACTGCGTAACCAAGGAAGAGAGAAACGTGACCTGATGCAGCGAGCTGAGCAAACATCTGGCCTCCGCATGCCTCAGACTCCCTAATCCAGTCTGCTGTTATTGTTACACTTACATAAGCCACATTCTGGATGTATAGAAGCCATCAGAACAGAAAGATATCAGCAGCTGGACACGTTACGAAAGGGTCTTCCTTCGACAAACCACAGGTCTGAAACCAGGATGTAAACTTCCTTTCACTTCCTGCCTCTACAGATATCTAATCGTTCATAGATCATTTGTAAGATCAACACCCTCTGGTACTCGTGGTAACTACCTGGTGCAATAATACTTAATGAAACTAGTTCCCCGAGTGCTCTGAGATGATATCAGACTCAGGGCAAATAGACTCTGCACCTCAGAAGCTATGTGTGTGAGTGTCGGTGTGTTTTGGGTGCTGTATCACAGATCGAGATCTACTGCTGAGAAGGGCGATCTCACCTGATGTTGGACGCTTGGTCGGTGAACTCGGTGGCCACGAGGGAGAAGTACTTCCTCATCTTGATCCAGAGGTTGGGTTTGGGGATGCAGCCGTTGTGTGCGTGGATGGCGTGGATACGAGCCATCTCCCCAGCGATCATTCTGACAGGACACATGAGTGTTCAAAAGCCATCACCAAGGATAATCCGTGTCATCAGATTACATATAAGTATTGATTGCATCTATCGTCAGCCTCACATCATGTGGCAGACGATCTAACCGACCATTCAGCCTGTGATTAGCATGTTTTGCTACATGTGCCTTTTCCCTGTGTCGCGTCGAGGCATTTCTGGCTTGTGAAGAATGTAGAGACCTATGATAGACCTTGAAAGTGTGATGCTACAGTGTAATAATTCAAGCATCTCAGGGCAAAATCAGAATAAATCCTGAGTATTCCCACGATCTCCTAAATCCTAACCTGAGCAAAGAAGGATCCCTGACATCCTGCGTCCCCAGAGCGTCCCCCTGCATGAACTCGTAGCAGATGCCATTTTGAAATGAGCAGTAGAGGCGAGGAGCGCAACCATTAGCATGTAGCACCTAGAGAAGAGACACAGAAAAACACAAGAATTAGAGACAGGAGAACAATCTTTTGAAGTGTTTTAATTCACAGCAAAGCACGGCCATTTTGATGAGCTACCTGGAAGCTATTCAGCTCATTGTCCCTGTCCACAAACAGCTCCGTCTTGTTCCCGTAAACTCTGACCAGGACCACATCCTCGGGCCTGTCCTCCACGTAGCAGCCCACCAGTTTGTTGGTGGTTCCATCTGTGAAGAGCTGGAGGAGGAAGATAAAATAAGTCATGTAACCTTTCACAGAGATCCAGAGGAATACCCCCAACCTCTCCGCACAGCGCCATGAAGCTTTTCCAAAACAATCAGCTATCAGCTGTCAGGACCAACAGTGCAGACACCATGCAGCTCTCACCTTCATGAGATATTAAATGTCTCATTCAGCAGCACTTTCAACTGGCATATGTCACATGAGCCTCGGGACCTTTATGTCAATCTATTTGACACATTCGCATTGTCACCCGGTATAGGTGTCGGTATCCACGTGTGTTTTCTTGTGTTTGCTGAATTTGAGACATTTCTAGCAGTCAACTAGGGCTGTACAATTAATCAAATATTAACCGTGATCATATGTTTGGCTTCACACAATTTAATTAGCAGGATTGACTGAGATAATGTGGTTTAAAATGTGAAGACGAGCCTAATTGTAAGTCTTATTTTGATGCAAATATATGCAGTGGTATAGTGGGGTAGACGGGGCGGGGTGGGGAGACACTATGGACGCGCTTGTGAACTGTCAACGGGGGGGGGGGGGGGGTACACTGTGGACCACTGTCGCCTGTCAGCGCAACTTACATGATGCCATTTAAAAAATATAATAATAAAGGGCGGTGCCGGCCGTCAGCGAACCGAGCCGGCCTTTCTGCGCGACTGTCACTCTATGCGGGACATAGTCTCAATTTGTGGGACGCGGGACAAATGATAAAAATGCCGTGTGTGCAGTCCCGCACGAAGCCAGACACCTTGCACACCTGGCATACCCCCGGATGCCCCCCTAGAGGATCTGACGTCCACCCGCCAATTAAAACATGTTCATACAATAATGAATACATTCGAAACCTTCTTTAAGTATCAACATGTCAATACGTTTCAGTCACACGGTGCTGCCCCTCACACACGCTTCAAATCAAGTTACATAAATACTTGAGCTACGTTTTTATTATAATTACTGTGAAATGTATATGTTTTCGTCATTATTACAACAAATACACACTTGCAACTGATAACACTGGCAATGATTTTATATTTATTAGACTATTAAAAAAAAATCTTGTTTCAGAAAAGTGGGGGCTCCAAATAAGTGGGGGGACGACGATCCCCCGCGTCCAACGACCACTACACCACTGAATATATGCGAGTTGGTAGCAACATGAAAAGTGCAGTATTCAATTGATTAGGCTTTCTCAGATATTACTCCCGATCTTTCATTACATTCATAGCATTTGAGTGGATTTAAAATGAGCCAAGTGTCCGTAGGGACTTGGGTATAGGTGGGTCTAATAGTCAAGCCACACTTTTCGAAAGACTTCAACCAACACACGTATATCCATTTTCAAACGTAGCTTAGATATGACCACATCCACTTCCGCATGATGAAAAAACGTAAGCAAAAAGCCTTGTGTCTAAATCTAGGCCGTAAATGTCTGAGACCTCTAATATGTTGATGAGAAACAGTGTAATAGGGGACCTTTAAACAACATCAGTCTACTGCCTCCCACTGCACGAACACAATAACAACATACACACCGCCCAGACGCCCACTCACACATATCTGGCATTCCTTACGTGGCTGACCACAAAGATGGGCGATCAGGCATCCCTGTTATGACCGTAAATACACAGGCATACACGCCTTTGCTACCACACGACTGATCCCTTCTACCGCCACACAATGCACCGCTAACACCGGCGATCACTACATCGACAGACAGCGATAAGCTTGGACCAGACAGAGGTAAACAATCAGCCATATATTTCCTGACGCTTTATTTCTTTTTCATGAATGAGTCCTTGTTCTCTCCGATTCAGCGGTCTTCAGCATGAGAAAGTTGTAAGAGGACACTGTTGCTCTGTTGCTGTTGGCACACTCTGGTGTTTTCAGGATCTCAGAGCTAGTGTGCTGTTTGGAGATAGACGGTGTGTATTTACAGTAAAGGTCTTCCTGTCCAGGTGGCGGGGCTAATCAGGTGTTTCTGTCCTACACATCCAGCGCTTCCCTCTCCCATCCAAACAATGGTCCCACTGCTCAGGAACATCCTTCCCATCGCAACCAAACACTTTTTTTAAAAATAATCTCCAGGTTTCCACCAGTGTGCGGCAAGCTGGGCGTAAGCATTGTGGATTCAAAACAAGAAAAGGATTTAACAATGTTTAAATTAAAGTGTGTAGCCAGCCACCTTTTTAAAGAGTTGAGTATTTTGTGTCTCTCTGTGCTTTAATGTTCAAAAAGCTCTTTATTGTTCTCATATAGTCTGTGCTGCAGCACCTCTTTTCACCCTCTGTCTGAAACCAGAGCCCAGTCTGCTGTGATTGGTCAACCGCTTAAAAATGTCCCGCCCCTTAGCCTATCACGTACAATGTGTTGGAGAGCTAGCCAATAGAAGTGCGAGTGTTACATAGTGATGTCACTATGTACTGGAAGTAAACAAAGGAGTCCAATGGAAGCATTTGTTGGCAGGGGGGGGAGTGTGGGAGAGAAACTCCCTCTGGAGGGGACACAGGGATTATAGCCTTTGCAGACCTTTTACGTTCACAAAGAAAAGCCCAAAAAGAAGAATAGGGTCGCTTTAAGGTGGACCTGATATTATCATATCAGCAACAAGCATTTTTCTCTAAGGTCTTGCTTAGCATCCCCCACCCCACCCTATGTATTCCTGCGTTGACCTTGTTATTGAGTCGTGGGCAGTTGTGCAGCTGTACTCCATCGGTTCTTGACGAAATCATACAGTGAGGTAAAAAGTCTGTTTGGGTGGAGCTCAGTGAGTCTGCTTTGTAAAGATCGAGGTCAACATTTTCACATGCTCTGCTGCAGGTGTGTGTGAATGTGTGTGTGTGTGTGTGTGTGTGTGTGTGTGTGGTGTGAATGTGTGTGTGTGTGTGTGTGTGTGTGTGTGTGTGTGTGTGTGTGTGTGTGTGTGTGTGTGTGAATGTGTGTGTGTGTGTGTGTGAATGTGTGGGGTATCAGATCCAGAGAGACCAGCCAGCAGGATGTAAACACACGGTTGGGGTTCAGACCGTGCCACGTTAGAGAGTAACAGCAGTAGCATTGTTTGTATCGTGCCCGCTGTCAGAGCTAATCCAAAGACTTTGACCTGGCAGTGACACGTCAGTCACTTGATCATTTTACAACGTATCAATTATGCATTTCCTTCCCTGACACCATGCATCTCTAAAAGGGATTGCGCAACAACACGTGTGTGTGTGTGTGTGTGTGTGTGTGTGTGTGTGTGTGTGTGTGTGTGTGTGTGTTGAATATGTGGCAAAGGTTATCAAAAAGTGTCTGATGTTCATGTTGGTTGGAACACAGAATGCACACCAGAGATACAAAATGGATTCTATTATTAAGGATTATTCAGATAATACAATTCCAGGCCATAAATATTGCTCAATAGTATTAAGTTAACTATTCAGCTTTTGTATATTAACTTATCAAGAACAGTACCTTGATACTCATATAAAGCAGCATGCGACTTTAAAGTGTGCTTGCTATGAAAGTATGAACAGTATCACACACACACACACACACACACACACACACACACACACACACACACACACACACACACACACACACACACACACACACACACACACACACACACACACACACACACACACACACACACACACACACACACACACACACACACACACACACACACACACACACACACACACACACACACACACACACACACACACACACACACACACACACACACACACACACACACACACACACACACACACACACACACACACACACACACACACACACACACACACACACACACACACACACACACACACACACACACACACACACACACACACACACACACACACACACACACACACACACACACACACACACACACACACACACACACACACACACACACACACACACACACACACACACAGTAGGTTTTCGACTGCTGTTGGATAAAGGAAAACTCCAGGAAGTCACATGTGGCATTTAGCTTCATGCCGCAGAGCTGGGTTTAATTCAATCATAAAGTGATTATTTCTTGTTCACTTTGAGAGCTGGACAAATGTTCCTGCCTGTCCTTGTTTGTATTGTCTTTTAGCCCCAAGCAAGACGCAGACAGGTTTTCCTTCTGTTTTGGTCTTTTTGTTTCAAACTGTATATGTTTTAAGCCACATGTGTCCAACTCAAGGCCCGGGGGCCAAATCCGGCCCGTGGTGGATTTAATTTCGGCCCGCAGGATCATTTCTAATTCCTATTAGATCTGGCCCGCCGGTATATTGCACGCACACCTTCCCTCCATCCTGAGGGTTTCCTCAGCTCAGAGCCTGAGCCCAAACATTGATGACCTTGCACCCAAGATGAGATGCCGAGTATCTGAGCTAGCATCACAGAGCAGCACTGAGTTTCAATGGATGTTTCCTTCTGCACTTTCTCTCAGGACAACAGAGCATGTTTGGTTTGTTCTTTGAGGGGAATAGTTTTTTTGAAGCTGTTGTTAAAAATGTACTCATAAGAAATGACTCTGAAAAGCTGCAGATAGAGCCATAAGAAATGAATGCAACTGATTATTTAATGTTTAATGTTGTTTTTAAAGGCGATCATTGAAGCTTTGTTAGCTCCAGGTTTAATATGTGCAATAAGTTCATTTCAATAAGTTCTGCAATAAACATTGAACCCTCGACTATCACCCATTTTTTTATTTTGGCCCTCTGTGTATTTGAGTTTGACACAATGCCACCTCTGCATGTCATTTCTTCTTTTAAGACTGCATTCAGCGCACATACTTTGAAGATTTGGCTTACTTTGTGGAAACTGACATTTAGAGAAGGTCAGCCTAGCCAGTTGCGACATTTGCTCTCCAGTTTATAGACACACACACACAACCCTCATCTCTTTCTTTCTTTAGGAGAATAAGGAATACTATTTTAAAAAGACAGAAAAGTAACATGTTCCTAAGTACCGTGAATGCATGATGTAACGGTCGACATCACATACCCTCCCACAGCACCGTTACACTAACTTCTATGTAATAGTTAGTAAACTCATTAGTCGGCCTCCGATGAAGCGGTAAGGTTTGTCAGCATGCTTCTCTCTCAGTGTCCCAACAGCTGGATGTTAATGAGTCTAACATTCAGACACACTAGATTAGCTGCTAGACATAATCAACTAAGCAATGCTGAATACTAGCTCCCAGTCTGAGTTCAACCAGCGATGAAACAGTCTCCAGAAGGTGCGTCTGCTTCACACACAACATTACGGACTATAACAACACTGGTTTGCAATGTATATACTATGTTTCAATTCTACTACTGGCTGCTTATTCGTTTTGCAGTACCCAACTCCCGTAACAATGATGTCGTAACATAAAACTGTGTAATACTTTATACTAGGAATTATAGTATTTACTGTCATTCTGCAGCTACTTCATTACTTTCTACTTGGTTCACGTTCTTTATAATGCAGCTACATCCTTTTGATACTTATGTATAATTATTTTGTGTGAAATGTTTAATATGTGTGCTCACTTGACTAGTTATGTTGTGTCCATCAGTACTGTCTCTTCGCTGCGGCTTGTAAATGTCCCCTCGGTGGGACTAATAGAGGAAGTCTGATTCTGACCACCACGTCACCTGGCGTGTACATGTTGTGTACTTTGGACCTATGTGATGCTGTCTGTAATAAAGTGGTGGAAAGTCATTAAGTACTAGTAAATGTCATTCACTCTAGTACTTTACTTAAGTACAATTTGGGGAACTTGTACTCTACTTGAGTATTTCAATGTTTAGCTACTTGGTACTTTTACTTCTCTACAATTCAGAGGTAAATAGTGTACTTTTACTCCTCCACATGTATGCAGTACCTTTGCAGATATAGTGATGAACAATATGATCAACACTTCAATGAGACTTTACTCACAAGCTGCATCAGACAAAGGAATTCAAACTAGCTCTACATATACCAGCTTTAATAAACACATTCATACATATATAAGAATAGTCAAAACATAAAATATGTATTATTCTTCACAATGAGTACTTTTACTTTTGGTACTTTAAGTATATTCTGTTGCCAATACTTTCGTACTTTTACTTGAGTATCCTTTTGATGCAGGACGTTTACTTGTAACAGAGGATTCCTACACTCTGGTACTTTTGATCTGAGTACTTCTTCCACCCCCTGTCTGTATAATGAGTAATCCTCCAGCCTTTTGGGTGACTCACTGACTGGATGAGTTTGCTACCATAACTAACTTAAAGTCTGAGAGCATCTTGCTAGCTAAGCCAACGTTTCAACATTATTGTTGACTTAAATGAACCTAGTCAGTGTATAATGTGTACACGGTCCTCCTCAGAGGTACTACCTTAATGTCATGGAGTAAAAGTACACGATTTACTTCTGAATTGTAGTGGAGTATAAGTAAAAAGTAGTGCAAAATGGAAATACTCAATTAAAGTACAAGTACCTCAGAACAGTACTTGAGTAGATGTACTTCGTTACTTCCCACCTCTGCTTGCTAGCTTAGCTAACGTTTCTATATTATTTGCTAGTAAGACAACCACGGAAATAAACAAATAGTCATCTTCGTTGATTATAACGAAGGTGTAAATAGAGGTGTGTCGTTTGTTGAAATAAATGAAGCTACTCAGTGTTTAATGTCTCCTCGGCCCTCCTCCTCCTGTCAGTCTTAAACTAGCCTAGCATACCAGCTAGCAGATCCCGTTACCTTGGTTTTGACCCGGTTCGCGTCCCACGCCGGTCTCAGGTCTTTAATGAGCTTCATCGCCCCCTCCGTCACATTGTGTTCGTCCACAAAAATAGGGATTTTACGAATAAACGGCGACCCCACCGGCACATGTATCTGCGTCTCCATCCCGTTTGTCTTTACCGTTAGTCTCCTCTCCGGTAGAAACTGCAGCATACAAGAGTCGCTTGTTTTATGATCAGCTGACGCGTGTATGTTAAAGAAAGGCGGTGTATTTTTGCTTTTGTTTGTTGTTTTAGGTAATGGTGAATTGAAAGCAGGGATGTGGATGATCACTCTGCCGGGTGTGGATGCTCGTCGCCGGTTTTCTTGAGAGCAAACCAGCCAACTGTAGCATTTCCTCCTCCTTAGCTCCGCCCGCCCCGGATCATCCGATTGTACCGCCGGTTGAGACGACGCAGCGCAAGCCGAGCACGCCCATTCATCTCCGAGTGTTGCCGAGCACAGCCGAGTTCAGCCGAATAAAAAGACGCCGAAACAGAAACAGGTGTATTACCAGATAGATTGACACGTACGAGGAATTTGACTTGGTGTCGTGGTGCATACATACAAATTAAAAACAAAAACACAGATAATAATATAATAATAATAATAATAACATAAAAAAAGAATATACATTTTAGTCAAATATAGCAGTTTTTACATTGAAATAGAATGGAATGTGCAGTAATACAAAAACACTGATATTGTGTACATTGTGTGCATTAATGTAATGTATAACTCATCTACAAAATCTATTTGTATTACGTTTTTAATATTATTTATTTAATTCCTTTTATTATATATTTATATTATTATTATTTATTTATAGATTTCTACATGTTATTGGATCTATTCATTTTGTATTATTTCTTCCTTTAATTTTTCGAGAGGGATCATTATTTATTTATATTGTATTTTACTTGTATTATCATACCTTTTACCTCCTTGTGTCTCTTTAACTGCTAAACTGTTATATTATGTTGCTATGCTGCATGTTTCCAAAAAGATCTTGGCGTCTGATCTGAGGTGAATGTTTTGTTCCCTGTGTTCATTTGTATTGTGTGCCAAATTTGTCAAAGCACCTGAGGCCTGTACTACGAAGCCATTTCAACATAAACTGGATATCTGTTCCTTTGATCTCATAGAAGATAGCATTTGAGACATAATGCAGGGACATTGGGTTGTTAACAGGGCAGGCATGAAAGTCGGGTTCTTAATTTAATATCAGATTTCTGAACTGAATACAAAAAAAAAATGTTCTGAGCAATTCATTTTGAAATTAGTTTTACTATAGTCTCAGAATCCTGAAATTTCCCCCAGAACCATTTGCCTCAAGTCCCGGCGTTTCAACTCAGCCTCTACAATAAAGCGACTGGTTGACAAAAAAAAGAATAGCAGAAATATAAGGATTTGTGAAAAAAAAAAAAAGGAGTTTGGAGTTTTGGTGGGAATGTCTGTTAATTGCACTGGCCTATGGAAAACCAACAGTGCCACAATACATCAGTATTTTTACTTGTTTGTTTTATCGCGTTTATGACGTGCGTTTTTCGCGCATTTAATAGTTTAAAATGCCGCTTTTTACAGTGCTTTAAATAAGATATGTCATGTGTTTAAAACACTTGACTGTAGCAGAGGTCTGTTACGTTCCCTTTAAGCCCGTGTCACACTGTCCCGAAATTGACACCAGATGGACACACGATAAAGGAAATGTTCAAATTCGGCTCTGATCGTAACAACATCGGGCCATTCGTGAGGGCATCTTTTTTGGCATGTCAAAGATTTTGCCACCGCTCACGAAGTTGCTGCCGGAGCCTGAGAAACTCCACCAGCGGTCATACGATGGCTTAAGATGCCCTCACGAATGGCCCGATGTTGCTACGATCACAGCTGAATTTGAACATTTCCTTTATCGTGTGTCCATCTGGTTGTTTTATTGCACAACAAAATCATGTAAACATATTATGTAAATATTAACACAATTTGTGTTCTGTGAAACTGAAAAGGATATAATATATTATTTTGAAGGCGAGTTGACAGGAAGTTGTTGTTGCTATATGGAAACAACATGACGGAGAAAACGTAATATCTTCTACATATAAAGACGGAGAAAGTAAAGAACAAAGTCTGAAAATATCAGTACAGTATCATAGACAGTACTGTAACATAATTGTTTGTGTTACTTTCGTTGCAGTTGTATGTCTTAAATGTAATGTAAATGTTGCCTTCGTGTGTGGTTTGGGGCCATCTTCGTGCGAAATTCACAATTCCATATTCGTGTGTCCATCGGGTGTCAACTTCGGGACAGTGTGACAGGGGCTTTATTGTCTGAAAGAAAAGGGAAGTAACAACAGATTAAAAAAAACGGGCAAAAATATATATATTGCTTAAATATATTTATTTAAATATATAAATACATATATATAATATATATGAAATAATGTATTATATTACATTATTGCCTCTGCATTGGATTATTATCGGATAGGGTAATAACTTCATAATTAACTACGTCTGAAAGCAGAAGTCTAGGGCAAATAATTGCAAGTCTCTTCAGTGCGCATGTCACAAAATGAGATGCATTGTGGGACATAGTTTATGGGCAACATGCTTAAGTAAGATAAGATAAGATGGACCTTTATTCATCCCTGTGGGGAAATTCAGTAGTTTAACAGCAACAGGGTAAGATTGAAAAACAGGACAGCACAGATTCACACAGATTAATAAAATTAATTGATAAATCAAAGATAAACAAAAAGAGAAATAGCCTAACTATAAAATAAGAAATGAATTAAAATGAACATATATAGATATACTGTAAAGTAGCATGTAACCGTATAATAAACTATAAATTATATTCTTTGCAAGCTCTTGCGGGCCACATAAAATGAAGTCGCCGGCCGGATTTGGCCCCCGGGCCTTGAGTTTGACACCCCTGTTTTACTGTAGGCTGTTGCTTGGCGTGGCGAGAATATTGCTCCACTTTCTCCGGTCCCCGAGATTCGGCTTCCAGTAGCTCTGGATCTTAGATCCGCCGGTAGCTCTCCAGATGGTAATCATGTATCTGCTTTGTTTCAAGACCCGCATCAGAAAGCTTTTGAATGGTGCTACTTCTCCAGTTGGTCTACACTCTACCTGCTCTTCACGTAGCTCTGCAGGTGCTTTCTAGAGATAGGCACTGCTCAATCCACTCCTCCATAGTAAGGCCACCCTGGAGGTCGAAGTTAACCTTAAATGTTTCCATCTTAAGCTTTGTTAGTTAGTTAGTTTCGGAACAGACGTAATGTAACAGTTGTAACGGTTGTGGCTTTTCTCAGACGCGGAGGGATACTGACTTGTGAAAATCTACCCGTGATATACGCTCATTATATCCCGGCTAAGAACCAATCAGATTGCTTGATTTGACCTGTCCGTTTTATAATGTTTAATATATGAAAATAAAGAGTGCTCAAACGCCGACTTACAAAACAAACTGAAGACAAAATAAAACAACTTTCTTGCAAAAATAAATTGATAACAATAAACAACACTGTAAAAAGACACAATGGAGCACATCTCCAAAAACTAACAAACACAAGCCACAACTAGTTAACACACTGAGACAAAACTGGCTGCACAGGTCACACGCTAAGATCAAACCACGGGTTGACAATAGATAATTCCCTCACAACACTATTACATCGGGGCGCATTACATGGCTGCAGTACCGCCTCTCTGTCCAGTGGTGGCAGTATAGTGATACAAATGCTACAGTAGTGAGAGCAGTGAACACAGGGTTAAGTCTACAAGGTGCAACACCGAATCTTTTTTATCAAACTAAAATATGAAATAACTTCCCTGTGACAAAGTACATCTCTTATAATATTCTTCATGCTTGGAATGCTGTAGCGCATGAATGCTCCTCTGCTCACAGTTCCCCACAGTAACACAATCAACATGCCATTCTGCTTTAGCGGTTTATCTTACTCTGAGGGCTTACGTATGATGGTAATTTAACATAGATATAAAGTTCATTTAAAATGACTTTGAGAATATCTGAAGATAGAAAATGTTACCCCTGGGTGTTAAACCTGATGTCCCCACATGTAACACCTTATACCTCTAGACCACATGATATACTCTAAATATGAAAAATTGTTGGATTGAATTTGTATCTTTACCCCAACATCATAAATAAGCCATCAGAGCAAGATAAACCGCTAAAGCAGAATGGCATGTTGATTGTGTTACTGGTGGGGAACTGTGAGCAGAGGAGCATTAATGAGCTTAGCATTGCAAGCATGGAGAATATATATGAATATAGGGAGGGTGTGGCTGATCCTCGAATCAGATGATAGCAAGTTCAAGTTCCACTGCAGTCAGCATGTCCAAATTGCTCCTGTGGGGATTGCCCACAGTTCTGAATGTATGGAAGTCGCTTTGGATAAAAGCATCTAACAAGTGACATGTAATGTAATGTTATATTCAAAGATATTTAACATAGAGATCATGTAAAATTAAAATTGACTCAGCATAGCCAAAGACGAAACATATTACCCTTGTAACCCGGGCCCCCGCATGTAAACCCAACAGCGGGAGCGGTGTAAAGTCACTAAGCACATTCACTCAAGTACGGTACTTAAATACAATTTTGAGTAATTATGTATTTTATCTTATTATTATTGTACACATATTAAATAATAGTGAATATTGTTGTGTTTTGGACTGAAACAAATAGGACATTGATACTGTGTCAGTCTGTAATCTAGAATATGAGATGTCATCTGCTCATTTATAAATAAAAGTTTGGTACCATTCTTTCAAAATAAGGGGGGACACTTCTATTTGGATAGTACGTCAATTTATCAGAATAAAACTTTGCAGATAAACCTTCTTTCTATAAATTGTACTTCCCCATCATGGGTTGCCGTCCAGTGTTGTGTATTTTCTAACTAACCCTGGATTTCATGCTCATCATGACTCTGCTGCCTGTCACTAAAATCTCAAAGAGCCAAACAGCCGGTGAACAATGAGATGAGTAACCGCGGATGTCCGGCCACATTAAATCTGCTCAAACTTGTTCCCCATACTGCTGGAGGCAACCCCCTCACAACTGGTGTGTATGTGCGCTAATCCAGAATACATAAACAAGTCCACAGGAAGTTTGGTAGATGTCCTTCTGCTGTGTTTATTTGGAAGCCATTATTGGGCCCACATGGATAAATCTGTTTCATCTTCCCATCATATCCTTTCTGCAGCAGCCTCATGCATTCAGGCAGTGCTGAACATATTCCTGCAGCGTCCAAAACCCTTCATTAGAGCTTACTGCACTCAATGGTTTTGGCCCCCTCAATGACTACAATCCGCTACCTGTTTTCAAACTTCACTTATTTAGGATTATGAGATATTGTATAGGTTGGCCATTACGTTTTTATATATGGGTGCTTTTTTCTTGACATTTTCTGACTGATTGTACTCTGTATTCATTCTAGATGTTGCCGGATGCATTTTAATGTAGGCCCGCTGATTTCACCTGCATATAATACTGTGAATATTTACAAATTGCCTTGGTCAATATTTTCTTTTGTATGGTAGCAACATTTCATCTAGTGTCCCATCTTGAAACCTCCATGTCCACCATTTGCTTGTTAGAAGCCACAGCCCAACTGCCATCAAGCATTAGTTGAAAGTTGTACTCTCTGAAAAGGCTTGTTGTCTTTACTAAATGTTGTGTTGTTTTTGTTCTGACGGCCACCATTATGTCACCTTTTGTGCCGAAATAGCTCAGTTGGGAGAGCGTTAGACTGAAGATCTAAAGGTCCCTGGTACGATCCCTGGTTTCGGCAGCAAAGAGATCAGTTTTGGGCGCAACCGTAATGGTTAGAGCTGCTGAAGCATAGCAGTCTGATTTGGTGCCTTTGTCTGTCGGTCAAAGGTTTACTCATGCCTGGGTGTACAATTGTAGATATGTAAGTCAGATGCTATGTGAGAACCCGACTGCCATCTAGCTCAAGCTAAAAGATGTACTTGCTGCCACTGTCTGCTTTGAGATTTTGTGTTTTTCTTTGGTTGGGATTAAATATATATAGATCCCAGAGGTTAAGTGCCTTTGTCTGGTGGACATGTAGTTTCATTCATACCTGCAATTTAAACTGCAGAAATGCTGTTGTTTTCCATCCTACGGCCACCAAATTACGCTCATAGTGCCGAAATGGTTCAGTTGGGAAAGCGTTAGACTGAAGATCTAAAGGTCCCTGGTTAGATCCCTGGTTTCGGCAGAAAAGTTACCTCAATGGTAAATGTTATGTATGGGTGTGTCAGTGTAACATAACATGGAGTACAGTGCTACTATTGGTGATGCTGGAACTACTATGAAGATGTGCAAACAGCAAGGAATGTGTAATTAGTTTATTCCAAAAATGTTTGAGCATCTAAACTTCGTGCATGTTTGCAAGTGACACTTTTTTTTCTTGCTGTCAGTCACACCCTGATAATGCTGCAGCTCTACCTGTAGCCACATGCTTCATCTCTCCCTGAACCTCGTCCTCGCTCTACACTGGCTTCCAGGAATGCAGAAGGCAAATTGTGTGTGTGTGTATGTGTGTGTGTGTGTGTGTGTGTGTGTGTGTGTGTGTGTGTGTGTGTGTGTGTGTGTGTGTGTGTGTGTGTGTGTGTGTGTGTGTGTGTGTGTGTGTGTGCTGTGTGTGTGTGTGTGTGTGTGTGTGTGTGTGTGTGTGTGTGTGTGTGTGTGTGTGTGTGTGTGTTGGGTAGGTGTGGATGTGTAAGTGGATCATGTGTATGTGCATGCATGCATCTTAGCCATGGCTTTGTACACGGGTGGGACAGCTCAAAAGTAGAACGGTGCTCCTTGGATATCTCAGGAATGAGGAAATGTTTACATTGTCGCAATGCGGAGTGCTGTTTACAATGTGACACACACACACACACACACACACCATAAATCACAGCTCCATTGAACGAGTGAACACCGAGCCTGTTTCTTGTCTAACCTAATTTCTCATGTCAAGGCTCGTGTTGACACACTCCTCGTCTATCACAGATCGCATGATTAGAATGAACTGCTTGTGTTTGGGAAGAGGCACCGTTCCATGTGAGGAGTGTTTACTTTCACACACACCTTCATAACAAAGCGGACGTGGGTTTGTTTTAAAGTTGACAGATGTGGCGGAACAATGTGTCCGGTTTATGATCTACAACAAAGTGACTGAATGGGAGTTCATGCATGTCTGACCATCTGGACTGACAGACTTTGTTAGTTTGCCGGCTGCAATCAGTCATTGATTTCTCATTACCAAAGATTTTGAAATACATCTAAATGCTTGTATTGTAATTGAAAACAAATAAACAATAGATCACATTTCCATGCAATCCATGAACTTTTAAAATGTTGACTTTCGAGTTTGTGACTGCCACAAGAAGATAGAAGATTTTAATATGGTAAACACAACACTTTAAATACATTTTAAATAACTGTATTTTGTATCTTTGCCTGGAATTTCAGTCGTTAAGTAAAACAGAATGTGATTCCTGTGTGGTTGCTTCTCTGCTTTTAGAGTCTTTTAAACTCACTGTGAGTCAGAAACCAACACTTTCAATAAAACCCCCCTCTCATTTTAGAGTTTTGTCAGAGTTGAAAAGCAGCGATTGTCCCCCTCCAGATACTTTAGATATGTTCACCTGAGCAAACAGAGCAGTGAGATCACCAAAGCACTGCTGACAAAAGATTGTTTGTCCTGTGACAAAATAAACTGGATTACAGGTTCAGTAGGAAGCTCTTAAATATGCCTATTGACTTATCTACACAACTAGCCTTCATGGTAACCCCTATAATAAAGTGTAAATGTACACTATTGTTGATCATATGATTAACTTATATTGGTGAACCCCACTCACTTAGAAATGCTGTGATTTGTTATCTACCCAATTGCTAGTTTCAGCCTGCTGCATTTTATTGGGGTATTTCAATGGTGCTTGGGTAGCATTTGTTCCGCCCAGCGTCTGGTTAGTTTCAGGGTCATTCTAAATGACAGTTAAAACAATGCAGATAATACCGTCCTCCTTCTCCGCCATGTGGTATCTACCTAACATCTGGGTCACCTAAACCAATCTGCTGGGTTATCTCCTGGTGGCAAACAGCTTTGTGTTGTTATCTCCTTTCCTACATCAGTCCTCTAACTTCCTTAAAGAAAAGTGTGTGTCCACTTTTGCGCTTACCAAGTCCTCACAGTGGAGTCAGCATACATAGCTTTACAGTGACTTTGTGGTGTGAGTGAAAAACAACTCTCCTTAGTTCCATGCTAGTTTGTAGCTGTCAGATGGCGAACGTCCTCTATTGGATCCTTAATCCTGCCTCATCATTTCAGTCTGATCTGGTGTCTATCTATGTTGTCTTGCACCTGAAATATAAACAATTACCACAGACACAAATGAACCACTAAGGGATGCACAATCCTGATTAAAAGGCAGAAATCAACTACAAGGAAACTAAGACAGAAAATACACAAAAAGACCTCAAAAGCACAACAAATGTCCACAGTCACGTGATGTGATTATATACTAATCTTATCCTGTCCTGAACATGTGGCTCAGTCTTCGAACCTGCAGGCCCTGACAGGAAATGGTCACAGATCAATAAAGAAGTAAGAGGACATCCACAAAATATCATATAGGTCAACATGTGAGACCTTCACCTTAGAGACCCTCACATCGCTGCAGGGTTAAACCAGGACTAGCCCTCTCATCACATCGGTCAGTGTCATCACTTGTGTGTGTGTGTATGTGTGTGTGTGTGTGTGTGCGTGTGTGTGTGTGTGTGTGTGTGTGTTTGTGTGTGTGTGTGTGTGTGTGTGTGTGTGTGTGTGTGTGTGTGTGTGTGTGTGTGTGTGTGTGTGTGTGTGTGTGTGTGTGTGTGTGTGTGTGTGTGTGTGTGTGTGTGTGTGCTCATGCATGCCCAAGTGTCCTGGTGTTCACCTCTGAGAGGAGGAGTGAGGCGGTATCAGTATTGATAGGATCTGGGTTAAGGCTTTGTGTTGACTGCCATATGCTCCTCTGAGGGTCACCAAAAAGACAAACACACTCCCAAAACACACACACACACACACACACACACACACACACACACACACACACATACACACACACACACACACACACACACTGCAGACCCCCACACCTCCTCTTTATTTACAGCCATATCCTCTTGCTTTCTGTCCTTTCCTTTTCAGATCAAGTCCTTTCACCCAGAGAGCAGCAGCTGGAGGACCGGCTCTCAGAGGGAGGACGCCTGACAGCAGGACCGAGGGCGAGTCACACATTAACCTCTCGTTACCCTGATTCAAACACACACACTCACTCACATACACACACAAACACACACACTCACACAAACACACACACACACACACACACACACACACACACACACACACACACACAAACACACACACACACACACACACACACACACACACACATAGGAAAATAGGGAGCATTTAACCTCACCAAAACACCTTTTATGTCATATTTCTAAGACATCTTGAGCTGGAACCCTGAGCTGTATCTCAAGTAAGTACATGTACTCAAGCACAGTACTTTACCCCTTGAATGGGCAAGCTCATATAAATAATTACAATTCCATAATTGCTATTTTCTAATGAATCTAGGCTAAAATGACACATTTCGTTTTATTTAAAGGGGACCTATCATGCTATATTTGAAACATATATTGTAGGGCCATACCTATATAAAACATGTCTGTGAAGTTTTTTTTTCAAAATACCAAACAGTTCACCCATTGTAGCCACGCCTCATACTGCTCAAACCCCTCTATTGAAGCCCTGTTAGAGAAACGCGGATCTTGGGTCCTTAGCTTGAAAAAATAAAAAGAGGAGGCGGAGCTAATGCCTGATCAGAATTCTACCGGAGATAAAGTTACATTCTGCTGTGATAAAACGCCATCCTGTTCTAAACCACATCAAGGATTATTTCTGAAACAGTATGGAGCTCAAATGCTTTTTCTCTCACGGGTTTATCACAAGGTAAGTTCCTTTTTATTTCCTGCTTTTTAAACACATGTGCTCTCCAGTACAGGTTAGCTCTGAGTGTTAGCGATGCTAATGTAAACAAAGACGTCCAAAACACGTCAGGCATTGTTTCTGATAGCAACTGTCTGTGGGTCTGCTGCCGATTTGACGTCAGATCCGATTGAATCTGTATCCGCTCGTTGAACACCCGTTTTTAAAAGATTTGGGTACGGAGGAAAAGAGAGAGGGTTTTATTTTCTGACGCTGCGTGAGTTCCCCGACGCACCGGGGACACATGTTGATGTATAAAAGACATCAAAAAGTGCATTTCGCATGGTAGGTCCCCTTTAAATGTTTAAATATGACCTTTATTTTTCAACTTTCATACTTAAATACATTGCCTATAGGGTATACGTTTATATTATTAAACTTATTACACTCATATAAAACCCATGTTAAACCAAAATTATTCATTTATTATTTATTTAGTTATTTCACCCATTTTACACTGTTATTAGACCCTTTCTGGTTATGGAGCCTCTGGAAATGGATGTGTTGCTGCAGGTTTGACTGTTTCTGACAGCTAACAGCTAACTGGAACAACATCTAACATCTAAAAGTCCCTGTGGGTGGGCTTTGTGCAGTATGTGTGCAAAAACAAAACAAACTGACTTAAACTGAAACCTTTCTTTGCAGCTTGACGTTTTTCCACTAAAATCAGTACAAATGCACAGGAATCGGTAAGAATGCAATAAAAACTATACTAAACTTTACCAAACTGTGAGTTATTTCTACTACGAATCTTAAATGTTTGCTGCATGATGAACACCACAAGATGGATGTGCAGTAGAAACCTTTTGTATGCATAAAATGAAGGAACAACATGATTACATTTAACTGGAATCGTACCCTGCATAATGACATGTGATAAAGAAGTTGATTATATGTATTTAGCTGTCCATTTGTGCGTTAATAAAAAGTACCATGCGTAACCAGGGCGGTTACACACATGTGTGTTACACAGGGCGGTTACACACAGGTATGCACTGACAAAGGTCAGTGCATACCTTGACCTTTACTGTTCAGACTGTTCAAATCACAGATCTTCCCCCTGGCAGTCTGAAAGGAAAAACATGGTTTCCGAGACAGATCCGAGATCTGCCTGCTCACACATGTCGCAGTCCACAGGAGATACGTGTGTTTTTTATATCATCAGGGCTGGAGAGAAGATGTGT